TGAGCTGCTGCTACCCCTCCCTTGCACTCTTGCTCTTTGCCGCCGCCATAAAAGGTTGCTTTCTGCTATGTACAGCTCTGCACTGGACCCAGATGAGTATGGACTGAAACCTCTAGTAACTGTGAGCTAAATAAACCTTTCCTTCCTTCATTTTGAGTGTCGGGTATTTGTCCCAGCAACGAGAGAAGAGTAACTAAGACACCATTCAAGGGGGAAGGGAACATATCCATTTCCTGATGTGCCAAATGAGGTTTATAAAAGCTTCAGTAACCTGTGCAGTAAACACAGGGCAGGGTTGACATCCAAGCCAAGGCCTGGGGACACACACCAAGAGTTAATCATGTCACTGCCAATGACTTAGAATCATCATTTAGCATGAGAAACAAAGCTAAGTGTGAGAGGACACTTGAGGAGCCACAGATGTCTACAGGACAGTCAGTTCGATAGAAGAGGTGCGTAGCTACTAAAGCAAAAGTGGCACAAGGCGAACAAGTTTAAGTAGAAAAGCCTCAAACAAAATATACTGTGACATCCTAAGATGTATCTTCTTTGGTTTTATTTTCATTTTATTTATTTATTTATTTTAGTGGCCAGCTCAGCCCGCCGTGGGGGAGGGGCTGGCACAGCACGTGGTGCTGGGAATTGAACCGCAGTCCCTGTGCTTGCCTAAACTTGCCTAAGCAGGCATTTGAGACCACTGAGCTATCTCTCCAGCCTCTTCTTTTTGTTTTTGAGACAGGGTCTCACTATGAAGTTCAGATTGACCTTGAGTTTACTTTGTAGGTCAAGCTGGCCTCAAACTCACAGTGATCCTCCTACCTTAGCCTCCCTACTACTAGGATTACAGGTGTGTGCCCCCATGCCCAGCTTTTAAAATACATAGTCTTATGAATGAAGGCATGATGGGATATGTAACTCTTAATCCAAAAATTTTTAAGTATTTTATTAGAGGACTTAGATAATTAAAAAATGTTAAGGTTTTCCTCTTTAAAAATGTCCTGTTAGGGGATACAAAGAAAGTATTTCTTTGATTTTAAATCTTTTTTTCAAAGACAATACAGAGGTAAATATTTTCTCATAAAATATAAATACAGTTCAGGGGACACTTAGCAATTCAGAAAGCCAAAGACTATGGTGCGTCCATATCATGGGATACTACTCAGCAACAAAAATGACCATCCTGAGGACCTAATCAACCTGAAAGAACTTTAGGGGCATCAAGCTGAGTAAATAAAGCCAACCTCAAAAGGTCACATGTCACATGAGGCACTGAAATGACAGTCTCCAAATGATCGAACTGCAGAGATGGTGCAGGAGAGGTGGCTGGCAGGGTGGGGTGGGGGGGATTATCGAGGACTAAACGTCAAGGAATGTGTCCAGGAACACACGAAAGGGGGCATGTAAGAACACTGGCCAATTCAGGCACCATCAGAGGCAGGTAAGCTATACTGTGCCAACAGCTACCTGGCTCTGACAAAGCACTAGCATTGCTAGGGAGTTCAGGGCAACAGGCACATGCGGCCTCTCCATACTATTTTAGAAAGTTCATAATTATTTCAAAATAAAAAATCAAAAAAGTATAAGCACAGCTGTGCAGACAAAAAATCAGGCTCTTTTGTTGTGAGACAGGGTCTTTCCATGTAGTTCAGGCTGGCCTAGAACCCACGTTGATCCTCTGGCCTCAGCCTCCCAGTGCTAGGATGACAGGTGTGTGCCACCCTCTGGCTATGCAGCTCAGGCTGGCCTTCAGCTCACGTTGTAGCTCAAGCTGTCTTGAACTCGAAACAATCCTCCTGCCTCAGCCTCCCAAGTGCCAGGATGACAGGCCTACGCCACCACACCCAGTTAGGGACAAGCTCTTTCTTTTTTTTTTTTTTTTTTTTGTGGAACCGGGGATTGAACTCAGACCCTTGCGCTTGCCAGGGAAGTGCTTATTCCACTGAGCCATCTCCCCGGCCCCGGGACAAGCTCTTAATGTGGACGAAATTGTTTCAAATCTTAGTTTTGATATTTATTAGCTGGCTGATGTTGGCATGTTACGCTTATCTCTTGGCAACATGTATGTGTAAAGTAGGGGTGATTTGAGATAACTGATTTAAAAAATACCTGGTGGGATGCCTGTCAGAAGTAACCAGAAAACTACGAAAGCCATTGTTAGCATGATCACGATTTCAGAGAACACCGAAGTGTTTGGAGGATGGAACTGCGCTCTGCAAAACTAGAAGATCCAGCTCTAGCTAGCAGCTGACAAGGTTTTCTGTTTGGACCTCTAAGGAAGCATTTTTTTTACCACTACCATGGAGTGAGGCATTTCACTGCATGACTGAAACAGGATGCCTGAAAAGAAAAATGCTGCTTAGTAAAAGTATACACACACAGCTACATATTATAAGGTATTTACTGCCCCTTACAGACAAGTTTCGAAAAACATACTATCAGGGGTCTGTCATTATGCTTAGATTACACTGAGCTCTATGAGCATCTGTGAATCACATTCTTAATGTCAATTTACACATAAAATACATACACTGGATGTCACATCAAAGTCTGATATTCTAATACCAACATGGAAGCAAGAATATTTTTTAAAAGGCAGAATTAAAAGTGAGAAGAAACCTTGCTGCTGTTTCTTTTTTTGTTTTGTTTGTGTGCTTTTTGAGACAAGGTCTCCCTATGTAGCCCAGGCTGGCCTTGAACTCACTATGTAGCCCAGGCTGGCCTTGAACTTGCTGCTGATCCTCCTGCCTCAGCCTCCCAAGTGTTGGGATCACAAGTGCATACCACTGCTCTTGGCTCTCTCTTTCTACACTAGGACAGTGAGGAGAAGCAGCCACTCTTGGCCAAAGACACCACAACCTAATGAAGCTACTTAGCACATTTTCCCTGAGTGACACACTCAAGATCTGCTAACTCAGCAGGCTGAACTGGAAGGTCCACAAATAGGAAAATTAGACTCACTCTCTGGGAACCTGAGTTATCACTATCCAAACATCATTAAATATTGAAGGTGTCACAAAGGTCCATTCTAACTCAAAATTCTGTGCCTCTAAGTACCTAAAATAGCTGAGAAAGAAGTGTGACAAGTAAGCTAAAACAATGCATGTGGCCTAGGAAGTGCCAGGAACTGTCCCTGGCAATGGGGCCCAGAGACAAGCTGCACAGTGCCCCAAGATAAGTTCAGGACCTGGTTCTACCTGGAGGTAAGACACAGCTGGCCAACCAGCCACGATGCCAAGCTGCAAGTGCCTGGAGCCACAAAAAGAGGCCATACAAAGTGGAATGGGAGGGGAGACGATGAGTCGTGTTATGCTGTTCAGATTCCACCAGAGTTCTGAAGTGATACCCGCTCTAAAGATGACTCCTAAAGGACTGACCGACCTTCTGGACACAGTAGAGGTTGTCTCAGTAGCACATGTGGGAAAGCAGGCAGAATTTGTCAAAACGCAAGGCACCCAGGTCTACGAGCAGGTGCCGGGACTTTCCTTGGGCAGAGGTGGTGAGCCTATGGCATTTGAGCCACAGCCAGGTGTTTGTTATTACTGAAAGCTGCAAAAGGCTCACCATCACCGCACTAGGGAGTCCAGTAGGCCTAGGCCATTGAGAGCTACAGGATGATTGTGGGGAAGAGGAACCCCAAGATCGAGCAGCTTTCCGAGGGCGCAGCCAGCAGCACCGTGTCCACTTATACTAACTACAGAGCCCCCTGGTGCAAGCCCATTGGGGGCTCTGAGGGGCTGTGAGAAAAGGAGAGACCCAAGAGAGAATGTTGACAGGTAAGCCTGGGAGGCATCAAAGAGGATCCCGGCCCCGATCTCTGGGATGGACCACAGCAGAAAGACAAGACACATGAGGCTGGGGATCAGGAGCAATGAGCCAAAGGCAGATATGCAGCAGGCTGCAGCAGCCGAGCTCCCAAG